TCGCTTTCGCAATCGAAAGCGGTGCAAGTAAAACAATAAACAAAGATGGCAATGACATGAGACAGGATTGATGGATAATCAAGTGACATATTGCTGCGAAAATTTGCATCTAAAGAAGCCTAAAAGAAGGTTTAGGGGTAGTTTACTTTTAAAAAAACGTTTTAAAACGAGGAAACTGCGGAAACACAGAAAGATCATGGAGCAACTTCATGGCCAACGTTATTGTAACTAAAGGACCAGTCTATTAAGGCGATCAAAGTATTGGCTCAACACAAAATGACATTGAATTTCATTGAAATATGGGCACAGAATGTAATTCATAACATCACAACTTATTTCAATATAACACAGCTGCAGTCCTCGAAAACATAACCTGTTTACTAAATCCAATCATTTCGCTTGAATTGCACTTAAAAGTCTTGAAATGAAGTGCTGCAGTACAAATGAATGATGAGCAGATTTCTCGTTCTAAACGGAACCTCATTTTCTCAATACATCAACGAATTTTACGTCAAATAAACACTTTCATAACAAACGACCAATCTGCTGGTTATCCATTTGTATACATAGCTGAATTTTGCTTTGACGTTATCCCATGTTTTTCTTTCCGAGTTCGGCGTACAAACGCATCCATTCACCTACACGTTGAAATGTACATGGTGAGTAATTTTGAGGGCAATTCTGAGGCGTCACTTTAAAAGAATTTAAGAGTGGGATAAATAATGTAAGTTGAACGATCGCGCATTGATAATTGAACCATTGTTGAATATTTTTAATGAAATATAAACGTTGTTTAATGCAGATTCAGGTCATGCGATCTTAAATGTAACCAATTACAATGGTATTCACGTCTAAATGTGTTGTTTCGTTGGAATTTTCTCATTTCAGTGATGCAATTAATGATGAAAAAACAATCTTTAAAAACAACAACAAGAACATTGCACGGCATTTATTCACGCAAACCAAATTACCATCAAAATGGTTTCATTCTACGCTGCTATTGAATATTAACGAAACACACAAATCTTGAACACCCCTCTCAGCTGATCATTTTCATTGAATCGCATCTCTC